TATGCCTGAACATATAATTTTGTGGTGACTTACCAAAGGCAGTAAACAAAGCTAGGGGATCATATGACTCACCCTTTATTTATAGGTATATACACACACAGATAGTATGCCTGAACATATAATGTTGTGGTGACTTACCAAAGGCAGTAAACAAAGCTAGGGGATCATATGACTCACCCTTTATTTATAGGTATATATACACACACAGATAGTATGCCTGAACATATAATGTTGTGGTGACTTACCAAAGGCAGTAAACAAAGCTGTACAATTTATTAGTTTGTAATCAACCAATCTCTGAAGGATCTTTTAACTTGGATATGTTGTATTCAGAACTCTTATTATGTGGATATTCAATGTGAAGTTGCAAAATTAAATTCATTTTGCTGTTGAAACAAGAAATATGTTTTTAAAACATTTTTAGTTTTCAAAAAATGCTACGTATTTGCTAGGCTTCTAGCATCATGAGTTTGTATACTTGTACCTGCCTGACAATGCTAGGTAAGCCTAACAAAATGAAGTGTGCCTGACAATGCTAGGTAAACCTAACAAAATGAAGTGTGCCTGACAATGCTAGGTAATCCTAACAAAATGAAGTGTGCCTGACAGTGCTAGGTAAGCCTAACAAAATGAAGTGTGCCTGACAATGCTAGGTAAGCCTAACAAAATGAAGTGTGCCTGACAATGCTAGGTAAGCCTAACAAAATGAAGTGTGCCTGACAATGCTAGGTAAACCTAACAAAATGAAGTGTGCCTGACAATGCTAGGTAAGCCTAACAAAATGAAGTGTGCTTGACAATGCTAGGTAAGCCTAACAAAATGAAGTGTGCCTGACAATGCTAGGTAAACCTAACAAAATGAAGTGTGCCTGACAATGCTAGGTAAACCTAACAAAATGAAGTGTGCCTGACAATGCTAGGTAAGCCTAACAAAATGAAGTGTGCCTGACAATGCTAGGTAAACCTAACAATATGAAGAGTTTTTTTGAAACCTATTTCTTTTATCCATAAACAAAACTTTAATTTTCATGTTACAAAGTCTTCCTTTATTTTAAATGAAGTTTGTGATATTAAATTTTCAGGTTAAGTTGAACACTAATACAAACTGTATGTTCTTATTTTTATACGTGCAGTAATCTATAAGCTGTGGTAATGAGTTTTGAATTATTGTGTTGATGTTTTTCTAAATGATAAAGCCAACTTTAAAGTAATCTATATAATCAGATTATTGAGTTATCTAATATTTTGAGATAGTAATGATATTTATTATATATATCAAGTGATTTTAAGAATAATTACAACAAACTGTTTTCTGTTTCAGGTTCAGTAACCACACTGTTTTGTACGATAAATATTTACTTTTGATCTTACTGGGAAAAGGAGGATTTAGTGAAGTTCATAAAGTAAGAAATTAAAATATGATTTTATGTGTTTTGTTACAGCTATATTTTAATTTTTTAATAATAAAAAAAAGTATTAATTTGACTAGATTTTAAAGAAAATAACATTCCTATTTTGGATGAGGAAACATGAAAACACTAAGTAAGCTTGTGTAGTAATTGAGTGACTGTGAATGTGTTTTAACTAATGTTTGATGAACTCAACTTCAAAAGTCATTCTTGTTTAGATATACAGAAGAACTGTTCAGAAATAGTGTCATCGTAATAACAAGTAGCATGTTACATTGTTAATGAGGCATAAAGAATGTTACAATTACGTGATGGTCATATTTAGTCTTATTGTGAAGTATGAGAAATTTCACACAAATCTTTTAGGTTAAAAATATAAGTTAGTACTTTTTTACATAGCCAAACCGGTTGATGATAAAGGCTTATAATGAAGTAGAAGTGTATATTTTGGAAAAAAAATGACTTAGTAATTGTCTGTATGAATGGAAAAGATATGTATTAATGTATTATTTAATTACAATATCGATAGTTAGGATGGCATACTAAACAGAGTTGTTCATAGAACTGATATAGTTTTATTTTCGTGTACCTCATTAATGTTTTGTGTTTTTCTGATATTTGGATTAAAAAAGAAAACTCACCATTTTGATATGCTTTCAAAAGTAACTACTTTCTTTATCGTGTTCTTTACTTTTAACCCTTTCGTGCCCTGTACTTCTTGTTGAAACTTCTATTTGTTATCTTATTATTGTTATTATCAAGTATTAAAACCACTTTTGTTTCATCTATTGGCATAGCTTATAAATGTACTTCTTGTTGAAACTCCTATTTGTTATCTTATTATTGTTATTATCAAGTATTAAAACTACTTTTGTTTCATCTGTTGACGCAGCTTATAAATG